GCTACAATTTAGTGTAGCGTTAGCACTTTTTCTCATTTTCTGTGCTAGCGCTACGCGCACGGGGCACAAAATAGTGCTATTGTTGTAGTATGCCAATTGTGTTTCAAGTATCAAATTGCATAAAGTCACAGTCCAATATGTAGAAGGGCATATATTCTTAGGTGTATTATGGCATAATCACATTCTATGGGTCATTTGACCCATAGTCACTCATGGGAACCACTAGGCTAGCTCCACTCAGTCAAAAGTTATTTGGGATTTAAATTTTATTTGCATAAAAAATGCTTAATGCATAATGTAAACCACAAGTTGGCCTTGGTTTGTTTACATATTCAATATTCATTGCATAGGGTAACCACAAGTTAGCCACATTGTTTGTATGTACACTGAGAATCTTGTATAGGGCTAGAAGCACAAGTTGGCCATTTATAGATTATTGGTTAGGGCTAGAACCACAAGTCAGCCGGGTTGTAAAATAGACTATTTAAGGAGGGGCTTTCCCCCCTCATTCCAATTTTTCATCATCTCATCACAACAGATCATCTCATCTGATCATCAACCAGACAGAACAGAGAAATCAATCCATACATTAACCGGTGTGTTCTTAATCAAGTGCCCCATTGAGATCATTCAGACTTTGAGAAGCATAGCAAAAGGAAAGTAAACAACCAGTACAACTTGTGATCTTAAAAACAAGAGACAGTGATCTTAAACCATTGTGCTCCCAACCAAGGTTAAGGAAGAAGGAAAAGACAAATAAACACATTTTCTTTCTCAGTAGTATCTCATAAATTATCATTCATTATCAGTACATACATCAATCATTTTTCAAAATACATAAACATATAAACAAAAACGCCTCTTACTCAACCATTCCACTCCAATAGTCTGCTGAATTCCTGTTGATCTAGGTTTGATAAGAGACTGTTACACATAGTTTTCTCTATCATCAGTTTTGCCACAACAATAAAAATAAATTGTTGTGTAGTACAATAGAGGGGCAGGTCTTTCAACCCAGCCGTAACAGTTGTAGTAGATCATTACATACGTGATATATCTCATCTGCTATTTCCCCCTCACAGGACTGCCACCATTCCCAAAGGAGTTCTCACATTGTTTAGCTTAGCGTTAGCGCAATTCCGGCCATCTGCGCTAACACTAGGCACATACAGGGCGCAAAAAACTGCCCGCTACGCTGTGTTACAGCAGTTTTTAGGCGTTTTTTTGCCGCTAAAAACACTGTAGCTTAGCGGCGCTAGAGGCGCACTAACACTACACCAAAAAATGGCTATAGTATTAGCGCCGCTACAAATCAGCACAGCACAGCGGCAGTAGTGGCGCACTAACACCACACAAAAAAAAAGCAGCTGTTGGCGCTGCTACGCTAACACTACATGGGCCTGTAGCAGAGTGTAGCCTAGCGGCCCACTGCTGCCAGGGGGGTCTTGACATTGCCACATGATGTAATATGTAATCCCTCCCAGCCCTCCAGTCAGTATAATCCAACAAGTGGTCATGTAAGCCCACTCCATCTACATTTAAGGCAAGCCAACAGGTTGTAAACTTGTCAAGACAAGGGTTCTTGCAGGGTCCTATGTTTGTGGTGAGACACCATAGGACTTCATTCTTGTAACTCTTATTATTATTATTATTGTGTTTTTTTTTTTTTTTGGTTTGTTTGCTTGTTTTTGTTAAGTAAGCTTGATGACAAGTCACTAAGAAAAGAAGAATATATCAAACAGTAGGTATCAAAAAAAAAACCCCAACACATCTGAGAAAAAGTTTGTTTTTTTTAAAAAAAAAAAAAAAAAAAAAGAAAATGCACACAAAAAAAGAAAAAAAAAAAGAGCTAATCAAACCAAATTGACAAAAAAAGAAAACAGAGTCCAGAACCTCTGATCCACCCCCTTCCCCCACCAGCAAAGAAATACTCTACAATACAAAAAAAAAACCAACTCAAAAAAAAAAAAATCGAAGAAAGAGAGAGAGAGAAAGGTGAATTATTTTTTAACAAAAGTAGTAGTAGAGGACCGTTTAAGGCCATTAAACAAGCTCTGAATCGAGCCCTTACGTCGTCGATGATTAGAGGCCGAGCCTAGATGGTTGGGAAGACCAGTCGAACTGTTACTATTACTGGTAGTATTCGTGTTAGTCGTCGTCATCGATGTGCTATTATTATTGTGATGATCAGTGGTGCTTTGGTTTAAGTTATGGTTGGTCTGATATTTCTGATTTGAATGATGATGATGAAGATGGGAGTTGAAAGCAGCCGACGAAGAAGAAGCCGAAGAGGAAGAAGGATTGAAAGGACGATGCTGATGTTGATCAAGCTCATCATCGCATTCAGGCCCACTGCTAGCAAGATACGACGAAGTGCTAGAACGACGGAGACCGTGGAGTTGATCGACGTCTTCTTGCTCATCATGATACTGCTCGATCCGACTGCGATTTCCGATCCGACTGAGTCGTTCGAGGGCGGTGGTAGCCATGGTGCTAGATCGGGAAGGCGGGCCAGTGCGACGATGGCCGGCCTGACGCTGAGGGCTCTCCGATTGAAGCTCATGAGTGCGCTCGGCGGGCTGACTGGGTTGACGGGAGCGTGAGTGGGAATGAGGAGGCTCGGGAGGATGTCGGGACGGAGGACGGGAGTCATCAATGGATGGCTCTCGGGAACATCTGTCCCATGCCTCCTGTGTCTGTTTGCGTCCCGAAGGTAGAGTCGAGACCGCCGGGTAATGCTCCACCCTAGACAAGACACTGTTGGCCCGATGGAGGATCTTGCTCATCGAGCTTTGCGGCCGGATTGGATGCTTCGGGTTCATCTCACTATGCGGGGTTTGATTGTCAACAAAATGTCTGACTGGGTTCGTGGGTGAGACGTTCGAATGAGCTGTGGTTTGTGAGATCGACGATGTAGGTAGACGGGGTGGTGTTTTAGGGAAAATCATGCTCGATTGAGAGCCGCGAATAGTATGTCCGGCCGTCGTTTCAGCCCTACTCCAAGCACTCTCCGGGCGCGGATGGTGATCTTTGGGCTCGGCTGGTGACCTAAGCGTGTGTTCACTCGCTTTGCGGTACAATCCAAACTCGTCAATGTCCGGATGTGACCCTTTCCTGCGAGACTGCGATGCGGACCCATTTGACGCCTGATAGAAAGATTCTCCCATACGACAAATCGAGGCGGACGACATCGCCGACATCCGATTTTTTGCTCGGACCTGTTGATAGTTCACACCATCAAAAGAAAGCTCACGATTGTGAGTAAACGAAATCGTCGACGCTCGTTGGTGTTGTGGACCGAAGCCATTGGGTGACTTGACAGCTCGCCCTGAATGGTTGTTCACACTGTGGCGCGACGGCTCATTCGTACCGTTTGGCTTGGCTCTCGAAAGTGGCGATTCGTCGTTTGAGCTGATTACACTGAGTGGACTGAGGTCTACAATGTGTCTTAGTTTGCTGGGGCTGTGCGAATGACTGTATTTCTTACTGGCTCGACTCCCCGATCTAAAAATTTCGCCGTGTTGTGCTTCTCCATAGGCATACGAGTCACGGCTGTCATCGATGACTGAAGCTCGAGAGGGTTGTTGTCGGGCACCTGAGTGTTCCTTTTGGGACCTTTGCAGTTTGCTCAAACATATCAGTACTTCTGTCAAATCTCTTATCTGATCGTTGGATGATCGAACGAGTTGGCCTTGGACCTTGGACATATGAGCTAGGTTGTCTTTCATCATCCGATACTTTTGCTTGGTAACTTGGCCGGATGGTGGCTCCCGCTTGGAATACGTTTCATTTTCGTCCGCTTGACCGTCAATGTAATCATCAACCAACTCCATTTCGACTTGATGGTTCACGCTCGATTCGTTCAGCTCTGCCAATGAAGCATCGATTTTACAGCTATTCTTGACAACGGAGGACAGCAAGCCGTTCAAAGCGGAATTCAATTCATTGGTTTCTGGACTGCAATTGTCAGGCGTATGATCCAGTGCTTCGTATGCACTGATCAACAACCTGTGGTGATCGACAGTTGGTGTGGGGCTGAGTAGAGCAGTCAAGCCGCCAGCTGTTGAGGAAGTTGCACGAGTTGGTGGACGGGTTGAACGATTGAGGCTGTCGTTTAACTTGGCCGAAGAGAGCTGCCTATGAACCAGAGCCCTCTGTGATTGGAGGAGCTTGGATGATGCACCAGAGCTTGAAGAGCGGTTGTCAGCGTTATGGCTGGGCGAATTTTTGTCTTGGTATGTATTCCTGAGCAGCTGGGCAAAAGGTTTTGGCTGGGGAACGGCAGCACCACCATTACCTCTTAATGTCCGATCTCTCTCCCCAATTAACCTGGATCGAGACGGACTGAGGATTAGACTGTTACCACCCATGCGAGAGCTTGCCCGGACTGATCGGGGGTTACTGTCCTGATGATCTGTGTCAAAAGAGAGGGGATAGGATGAGTTCAAGGAAAATTGTTCTCGATCGCATTTGAAAAAAAAAAAAAAAAAAAAAAAAAAACTAACCTTCTAAAGCCCATTCACTTGTGCGACTCCTCGACCCAGCCGAATCAGCCTTGCGAGGCATCGACTGGGTGTTAGTATATGTTGTAGTAGATGTTTGGCCATCGTCGTCATCATCAACACCGTTGTGGTGATAGATGATAGTCCGTCGGGAAATAGGGCTGGGAAACGCGGTGCGATGTCGGTTGGTCGTTCCCTGTCGTTCTGCGGTATGAGGATCATAGACTAGAGATGAAACTGAAAGTTAAAGGCTGACAGATGTCTGGGGGGTTGATAGATAAATGGGAGGAAAATTGACTTACCACCACCTAGAACCGATTGAGATCTGATAAGGTCCCCGCCGACATCATCCAAACCTGACCAACTGGCATGTTTGTTACGGATAGACTGGTGCCTAGTTCCACTACTGTGAATATGATGTCCATCGTAACGGGATAAGGCTGATTCTACACCGTTGAGCCTATCAGGGACAATTGCGAACGTATCGCTGTGGCGATGAGAACGACTGTCGGAAGTCTGTTGGGGCAGAAGGCCAGTCGAAGGTCGAGTCCGATTAGAGCGAGGACTGAGAGATGACTGAGGCTCGAGCCGACGGATTTCCGCCAAGCTGTGGATCCTTTCGGAGCCGGCACGCTCCGAATGGTGGGGTTGTACGAAATGATCGGGCAATCCCGGCCTCTGTCGGCGAGAAATGCTGCGATTAGATTGGGGGGATTGGTTCAGGGTTGTCGACAACCTGGGCGGAGAGTCTTCCAGTGGTAGTCCATTGAGTTCCGAGGTTCCTTCACCCTTTGATGATGATGAGCGCCGTCGGCGACCGACTGGGCCTTTCGCTGTTCGACTGACTGAAGCGGCTTCAACATGACTGCCTCTGGAATTCAGCATCTCAGTTACTGAACTAGCATTACGCAGAGTTTTCTGAAATGACTCTGATCGTCGAACTTTGACTGGTGTCGTCATCGTCTCATCTTCCCCCTCATCATGATCATCAGAGTCATTTTGCTCATCCTCCCAGTACCTACTTGTTCTTGGGTGTCTACTCGAGTTAGTCTGAGAGTCAACCGCTGAGCTTTTTGATGCGCTCCTCGTGGCTGTGCGACTATCTCGGGCGCCAATGGTATCACTGGATGAAGTATGCATCGAAATCGATTCAGACCATGTGCGACTGTTTCGGTGTGATTGGGCGATATCACCTGATGTGGGTGGATCAGTAGCTTCCCTGAGGTATTGTTCTGTTTGTGCGTCGATCTGTCTTCTCCCTTGATCTGCGCGATGAGACGTCTTGGTTCGTTCAGAATGGGGCGGCGACATGGAGTCGACTTCAGAATTTCCCGCTGGGGAGGTGCGCTTTACAAGTCGGGAGCGTTCGGGTCGCTTGTGACGGACACTACCGTACTTTTCGTCGTCATCGATCCCCTCGGGTTCCGGATCGATTGACTTTGTAGGAAGATCGTCTGATCGACCGTTAGAAGCTTGAGATTGAGAGCCATGAGTAGCAGTTATCTTTCGTGGACTGGGGCTGCAGCCTTTGGCAAATGGGATAAGACCGGAGCGGATATGATGACTACCAGGAACTCGGAGGTTACCGGATGATCTTTTGGGTGAGGAGGGTGGTAGCGAAGATGAGGATGAGTTGGAAGATCCTGATGATGTGGAGGGAGGGGGCGGTGGCAGAGAGGGTTCGGGTGGATGAGTACGAGGGGGTGAGTTTAGAGAGGCATTGATGCTAGCGAAGATCTGTGGGTTTGGGAATAGAGTGAGCAAAGGGTCAGTGATGGAAAATAAGGAAAGCTTGAGAGTGAAGATGGAAAGATGTACTCAACTCTCTCGTTTCTTTCTTTCATGCCTATCAGCCTTTTGGATCTTGGAAGACCACAGCTCTCCTCATTAAGCGCTGGAACAGAGGGATCCTTGGAGCGATCTTTGAGTTTGAATTTTGATGGTCGTAGGTCAGTTGATGAGGATTCGGATGGGGTTCGATGAGGTTTTACGGTAGCGTTAGACAGAAGGGAGGTTGAGAGTTCAGTTGTTGGAGTGTCTTGAGGGACGGACTGAGGATGGTTGCTGGAAGTGGTGAACTCAGAGTAGGAGCTATGAGACGACATGCGTCCATCGGCGGTAGAGGATCGTCTTGAGATTGGAGCTAGTCTTTGATGAGCACGGGATGTCGTTGGAGATTGGCGGATGTTGTTGGATTGGTTGAGTTTCGAAGCCAGTGAAGCCGAAGTGGGTGGTGGTCGAGGGTGGGATGGATCGGTTGAGGGTCGGATTGGGTTGAAGTCAGTGGTATGCGCTAGTTGGTTGAGATCATACCAGGAGGTGTGATAGGCGGCAGGAGGGGGGTGCGCAGCAGCAGAGCACACCATGGCCACAGAAGGCACACAGACAGAAGAAGGCACATGATCAGCAAGGAGCCTATAAGATTTTATTGATGATTAAATATTTAAATGATCGACCCAGGGTAATTGTGATATCGGGGTCGGGTCAAGTTGAGACTCTCTCCTGAAAATAGTTTGGTAGGAGAGAAGGAAACAGCAGACAAGAAAAAAAAATAGAAAAGCAGGACTAAGAGGCTAGCTTCATACCTGGTAGTGAGTCCCTCTTTGAAGGCTTCATGTTTCGAGTTGATGAGATGCTTGAGTGCTGGCTGATCCGAGTGTGAGCAGTGCGGTTAGGAGGCTCGACAGATTTGTGGGCTGTGAAGCTAGAAGGAGGGGCCGGAACGGAAATGGTGGGTGTTCGAGAGTACTGGGTGGTTCTGGTAGGACGAGGAAAAGTTGAATTGATGGTGGACTGATTGGAGAGACTGGCAGCAGCTCGAGTGGCAGCTACTCTGCGTTCGGAATGGGACCCATTAAGCGAGCCGAATCGATTGGGCGCAAGATTAGTTTCCGAGTGAGTGGTAGGTTTCCGTTTGGGGCCGGGGATGCTGCCGTTCTCGCTTCCGATCGTCGTGGGAGGGGAGGGTAGGCCGTGCTTGATGTTGACGGTGGATGCTCGGTGTGATTTGTTAGGGATAAGGATGGCTGATGATCGAGCCGAGGGTGGTTTGGGATGCAGTTGGCTGTTCCTAGTTTGAGGATGGGTGTTGCCGGTGGGCTGATTGTGAAGGTCTTGGATTGATCGAGAGATGATAGGATGGGAGAGGATCACTTGGGCTTCAGACCTTCGCCGGAGATGCGAAGAGCTTGATTGGATTCGTTTCGTTGTTTGTTGTTGTTGGTGTTGTTGTTGGTTGGCTGTTGCTGTCTCGACCGGCTGGGTTCGATCGTTTGGTTGTCGTAGCCTGCTGGTGATAATAGAGGAGTGTCTCTTGGTAGACAGCAGACTCATCGTTGCTCGATGTACTTGACCCCCAACCGAGTTCAGGGGCGGGAGTGGGGAGTGAATATAGCTTTGTTTATAAATACACACACAGGGGGAGACAGCTGCGAGGAAGTTCCTTGTATACTATTTATCATCAGCTGCACCCAAGAGACTAGCGAGGAGATGGGGGGAAGGAAGGAGTTGGTTCTTGGAGTGATAAAATAATTTACAGATTTGCTTCTCAAGAGAGAGACAGAAAACAAGTTCTACAATCAAATTCAAAAGACGGCTAATAGATGTTTGATTGATAAATATTCGTGATGGGGTAGAGTCCAAAATCAACAAAGCATGCCGCCACCGGTTGCTATGTAGGCTGGGAAGGGAAGGAGTGTCGATCTGAGTGTATGCGCTGGGATTGAGGTTGGAAGATTGCTCAAGAGATGGTTGAGCCCGCAGGGAAAGTAGAAGTCGATCGATGAGCAAGTAGAGTGATGAGAAGTTGGTATGTAGCAGCCTGCAGGAAGAAAGGCTCTCTTTGGATCAAAGGCAAGGTTTCTGTTCATGAGTTTCCTTGCTGTCAAAAGATCTTTCTTTCTTTTTTATTTTACATATCTTACATAAATCATCAGAACCAATCCTGGCTTTCCAGCTTGTTGTACAGGAGACATCGTGGCAGCAGCAGCAGCAGCAGCTTGCAGGAAGGGCAGTACATACAAAGTCCCAACTGAAAAGAAGAGAGTGATCGGTTATGCAGACTGGCCACTGTGAAGATGATGATGATGAGCGGTGTGGGATTGGGAGAAGGAGAAGGAGGGAGAACACAGCTCGTTGTGGAAGAAGAAGACTCGGGTCGACAGCCGAGTGTTAAAGGAGTTCCCCCACAATTTGAATGACTGACTTGAGATTTCAAGAACCGTATAACACCATCGCCAAATGAAGACGACTGAGAACTTCCGAATGACCTCTTCTGCTTCTTCTTGATTGATCAAGTCCACAAACAGATCGGTGTACAATCAAGAGCACACCCTACCGGCCTACATACATTCACAGTAGAGGTGCAATATAGAATCTTGGATTGGGGCGGTGACGTCATCGTCTCCGTGGCGCAATTGGTTAGCGCGTTCGACTGTTACTTCCACCAATCCCGGATGGCTGCTATCGAGAGGTTGACAGTTCAATCCTGTCCGGGGACGATTACTTTTATACTCATCACCCTTTCTCCGGATCACCTTTTGTTGTGTGCAGCAGCAGCCTCGATCATAAACACCGAAGAAGCTTTATTCCTCACAAAATCGCAAAGCAAACCCAATTGTCACCATTGGTGTGAGAATCCCTCTTGAGGGGAAGGAAATGGCATGTGTTGAAAGTCGCGGGGTCCTGGTGTGTGCGTATATGATTCGTGTTGCGGTTAGATGGGGCCTGAATCTGATGGATTGGGTTGTCTTTATGGCCAGATGTCTTATTTTGATGAGTCTCTGACTGTTCTGTTCAGAATTGGTTGTGGGGAGAAAGCATTGAGGAACTTGCACAGTACATACAGTGTCCTCCCATGTTTATGCTTCCAGAGGACCATCTTACAACTCACTTTCAATTAGAAAACCTTTGCCAAGGAAGGGGCAGATTCAGAATGTTGGACGACATTCACACATCAACTCCCCGTGTCTCTCCACCTTCCGGGTAGATTTCGCTCGCCAACAACTCTCAAGTCAACTTGGATTTTACTCGAAGATGGGAAAGCTTCGATCCCATTAAAACAGCTTACGAAACTCGAAACTCTCGAACGATCCGAGGATTCCCTTTCGAACGAATCATCAAATATCAAATATTTATAAATATGTATATCCACTGAAATCTCTTAAAATACGTATGTACGATTACATGATTTCGATCTGACGGCTTCAAGGTTTTACATCGACGACTGATCATACAACATAAACGCTCCAATCGAAGACAGGACTCCAGGAGTACTTGAACAGTCGTCGGACCGGGTCTTGTCTTGCTCCCTTCAAGGAAATACTACATTCGATCAAAAATAAATATTTAATATTCATATATTCAGAGATGGACTCATCTAGAGCTATCAGCTACTGCCATCGCCGCCGCCCTCACCTTCCAACCGATCGGGAACCTTCAACGACGCCGATCGACCTAGAGAAACTAGCCGGCATAACAACCCCCATCATCACCACCACCCATCCCTTGCACATCAACAACAGGGCCGCCGATCCTATCATCACCCCGGCCTATGATCTGGCTACCCATAAGAAACCGGCAGACTATGACGACAGTCATTGGACTACAATCCTCCATCGCTATAACTCTCAAAACTCGCACGCCCATGATCCGCTCCTCCTCAAGAACTCCCTCCAGGACGAATCCGTGCTCAGTCGGCTCAGGAAACGAGGCCGGAAAGCCAGACCCGTCGAAGACTTCTACGAACTCCAGAACCAACATATCGTCAGTCCCTCCCCCTTCCTCTCCCTCTCGTATCTTTTGTGTCTCCCAAAAAAAAAAGAAAAAAAAAAAAAACTGAAATCTACATTTTTTTTTGTTGTAGAATAATTTGCTTAAATCGTTGGATGAGGATGCAAGAGAAGCCATCGAGACCTCCCAATCTTCCGCCACCCAAGTCCGGATAGCCATCCAAGCCTCGTTCATCGTCAACTGTCTACTCGCCGCACTCCAGCTCTACGCCGCCATCTCGTCCCTCTCGCTCTCCTTCTTCGCCACCGCCCTGGATGCCGTCTTCGATCCTTGTGCCAACTTTGCCCTCAACTATGCGTCCGTCTCATTCTCATTCCAATGTAGTGTTCACACCCTTTTGTTTTTGGTTTTTTTGGTTCCAATTCTTAGTGTTGTTTTGTGTGGGAAATTAATAGACATCGATATGCGAGCAAGGTGGATCTACGGAAATATCCCAGTGGAGGCTCGCGCTTCGAGACGATCGGAAACATCATCTATTCGGGCGTCATGGGCTGTGCATCGGTGGTTCTGGTGGTCGAGTCGATCGAGAGTCTGGCCTCGAATAAGCCCGACAACCCCGCCGACCAACACCTCCACATCCCCGCCATCGCCGCCGTCTCCGCCTCCTTCGTCGCTAAGGCTATCCTCTTCGTCTATTGTTGGGCTGTCCGTAATCAGGACGGGCAGGTCAGGGTGCTCTGGGAAGACCATCGCAACGGTCCGTTTCTTCCTCCCTCTCTCCTACCTGGTTCTTCCTCTTCCCCTTCATCTACTCATTATTTCTCCTACTTTTTTTATAGACCTGTTCATCAACGGTTAGTCTTCTTTCTCGTCTTCCCTTCTCCCAATATTTCCCCCCCCCCCCCCCCAAAAAAAAAAAAAAAACACTGACCTCTTTTTGAAAATCTCCTCACCCAAACCCCTGCCAAATCCAAAGCTTTTCGGGATCTTCACTAATGCGGCGGGTGCGAAGAATAAATGGTGGATCGACCCGCTAGGCGCGATGCTCATCTCGCTCGCTTTGATCGTCCTTTGGGGCGTCAGTATCACGAGAGAAGTTCGC